ATGTTATGTAGCTGCCTCCAAGCTACATGTGTAACACTGTATGTATGTAGCATGCATGTTATGGAAGAGTTGTTACCTCTACCGCTGTCTATCTGCCTACCACTCAACTTCTGGTGCAGGTCCTGCCCCTGGCTGGGAATCCAGGCTCTTTCCACCATCCTTCCTGGTTGCTGCCTCTTTTCCGTTGACTTTGACCTTGGTTTGATGCTACTCAGTGGAAGCTTGTTGCCTCCCTGTCCAGCCTCTCAGGACTTTCCACCTATCCACACCATGGGTCAGAAAACAGGAAAGAAGCAAGATTTCCTAACTCCGTGTCAATAAACCAGGGCCCTCCATCCCCAGTGTCTGCATCTGTGTTTTACTTCAATAGTAATCACAGTAAATGAGAAAACAGCTAAACAACATTGGATTTGATTATTCAAGAATGAAATAGGGTTTTAGCTTCTGCAAGAGTGTGAATGAAATCATCTTTGGATTTTTGTTTGTTTGAGGGTTTGAGGCAGGGCCTCACTGTGTAGCCTTAGCTAGACTAGAACTCTCTACACAGACCAGGTTGTCCTTGAACTCAAAGACGTATGTCTGCTTCTGCCTCTTGAGTGTTAGGATTAAAGGCATGTGCCACCACACCTGGCCATCTTTGGATATTTAACTTGCAGTGGAGCTGGGGACTGCAAGCACCCTGTCTCTCCCTCTGGGCCCTCGAGGTACTCCTTCACTGCGAGCTGTGCCTGGGTTGGTTAGACTAATAAGCCCTTGGAGGCTTCATTTTAAGGATACTTCCTTTATTACAATCCTCTGGCCAAATCCCTAGACAGAAAGGGGTCCCAGTGCTTCATGATTTCCCCCACCCCATATTCTAATGGGGTCCCATCCTGGGCCTCCAACTGCTCACAGGGTTCTTGCATAATAGTGCCTGTCCAGAAGGAGACGTGCAAATCTTCCTTAAAAGGCAGCAAATGTTTCTCACAAATAAAGCCTCTACACTTGTTACATAACCAGCCAAGCCCTGGCAAGTCCCAGCCCCAGCATTAGCACATCAACTGCCAAAAATCCAAATTTAAGCCAGGCATGGTGGCACAAACCCATAATCCCAGCAGTGGGGAAACTGAGGTGGGGGTGGGGAGGGATGGGGTGGGAAATGGGGACATGGGGCATTGGAAGTTTGAGAACAGTCTGGGCTACACAGTGAGACCTGTCTCAAAAACTAAAACTACACAAATTTCTGACAGGTCAGAGAAAGTGGTAAAACCAGACCCAGGGTAACAGGTTGAAGATTAGACCCACATCCATGTCCTTCCAGACCGCTTTTTGGAATAAGAGTCCTGGCTGATATAATTAGGGTAGAACCCTGAGATGGTGCCCTCCTGAATTAGAGCAATGCTTCTTGACCTGTGTCATTCTAAGGAAGGAGGAGGACACACAGAAGAGCCCAGAGGGAAGGCAGTCTCCAAAGGTGACAGCAGAGACCAGACCAGTGCAGCCACTGACTGGAGGACTTAGGCAGGGGTCTCGCCTGCAGAGTTCAGGGGCGAGCCCCTACTGACACCTGGATTTTTTTTTAATTTTTTTATTATTCATTATTTGTTTATTTATTTTACTTTTGGCCTTGAATATTAGGAGAGGCTATGTTTCTGTTGTTTCAAGCTGCCCAATTTGTGATAATTTGTTAGAGCAGTCACAAGACAGGCACACCAGAGATTAATGATTACAATATGTCAGAGAGCTGGAAGGTCCAGGCCAGTGCTCCTGAAGGGCCGACAGTCTCCAGGAGCCCCGGTCCAGCAGCATCAGGAGTTTAACAAGCTTTCCAAGTGCTGCTGGCAGGAGGCCCGCAGGGGGAAAATGGATCAAGATAGGAGGAGCAAGTGCTGGAGCAGAGCTGATTCCTAGTCCCTCTGCGGGGAAACAAGCCCAGCACAGGTGTAACTGACACCAAAGTGAGGCTGACCAGAAGACAGGCGCTGGTGGGGTGGGGGGAGGGGCAGAGACAGGGCAAGGGTTGTGTAGCTTTGGGAAGGTTTTGAGAACTGAGTAATCCTGCCCTCACCCCCAAACCCCCACCCCCACCCCCCCACAGCAGGGTCTGGAGCTAGAGGTTGGAACAGGGTATCCATCTTGGAAAATCACAAGTTCGCACATCTGGGCAAAAGTAACCCAAACATGAGTTTGAGATGGGCAGGAATAGCCAGGCTGGAAAGTGAAGAGAGGATAGCAAGCCTAAGGGCAGCTGAAGGACTTTCTGGGGGTCCCAGAGAGGGGAACGAGAGGCTTGATGGGAACCCCTGAGCTAACTCTACCAGAACAGACCACCAAAATCAGTCTGATGCCCAAGAGGCACCAGAGTAGCCTGGAGGTTGCTAAAAGTTAAAGCCAAAGACTCCCCGCCCCATTTCAGGTCTCTGCCTCTTGGGCCTGCCTCCTGAGGCTACCTGCTTTCAATTAAGGATCTTCTCTGGGCCTCAGTTCCTGGGATACATACGTGGGCAGAGGGATCCTACATGGCATGGTTCTTCCTGCTTGGCATTAAGGCTCTCTAGACTCATCCGGGCTATTGTCCACATACACCTTTTATCTTAAAGGCACTAAAAATAGATCCACACAGAGGAGGTGGCATGCCTCACTACTGCCCCTGAGGCAGGCCTTCCCCTTCCCAGACTAACCTCTCACTACTTTCCTACCACAGTAGAGCTGCACGGGGCAACTAAATCAACTGAGGAATGAGACCTAAAGGTGACGTTCATATGTGAATCGGAAGTATTTATTCTGAGGAGTCTTTGCTACAGTTCAAGGACTGCCCTCTAGGAAGGGCAACTGCATTCAAGCACCTCCTGTAGTTCTTGTTTTTAAAACTCTACTTATTTTGGGGTGTTTAGGCCTCAACCTCCCTTCCAACCTCCCAACCCTACTTAGGAGAGAGAAGGTTAGTGGGGAGAGGGAGCACAGACCCCTTTACTTCTCCCAGCTATTTAGGGTCAGTGGGTTCTTTCAGCCACACCACGAAGAAGACAATTAACAGATGTGGACAAACTATAGCCCAACTAAAATCCCACGCTTGGGATTAAAACGAAAACGTATTTACACAACATAACTGAGTTTACAAAGAGCCCAAAACTCCCATTACAACATCTCAATCACACTGGGGCCTGGACCTTCAAGGTAACTAACTATGCATCTTACTGCTAGCCCTGCTGCAAAAGCTGTTTCCAGGGCCAGGACAGTCTCAAACAGGGGCCCTCAGCATTCCAGGAGAGGTCCCTCCCCTTCCCCGCCCCTCACAGGATTACACACCTGCTCTGTAGTCTGTTCCGGGACACTTAGAGGCACACAGACACATATAGCACAGCCAGTACTCAACACACAGCTAGCCCAAATTACCTCCAAGTGGAGGCCCTCCATTCTCAGCTTGGGGTACAGACAGTACAGAGGTATGCTGTAGCCCCATGTCTTTCCACTTGGGGTGTCCAGGCTCCTTTTGAATAGGGCTCAAGGAGGGTGGTGCAACACAGAATCTCAGTCAGTGAGTATGTGAAAAACAGCCTTCTCAGGAGACAGCTTCAGTGATGCAGCCCATTGAACTAAGGGGAACGAAGGCTATGTGAACCTTTGGGGAGTCAGTAGGGACTATGCCTCCGGCCAGGGCAAGAGGCTGGGAATGCCATATTTGCATGAAGAGGAATTCCAGGTGCTTGCTGGACATGACCTTAGAAGGAGAGAGGAAGTTTAACCTGTGACCTGGCCGCCAGGCTAAGTGACCACCTCAAGGATGGCAGAGGTGGGGGTGTGAGGCTCTGTGCACTGGGACATGCAGGCCCAGGGCAGAGAGGGAAGGGTCCTACTCCTATCAGTCTTAAGATGAGATGTTCAGGGTTTGGACACCCCTTGACCTCACTCTTGCTTCAGAGCAGCTTCCCCCAGCTGCATGGCTCCCAGGCCCCACAGTACACCGCCTTGTAGCCCAAAGTTTTAATTTATGCATGTTTCCACGTACTCTTTTCCTCCAGTATTACCAAGTTGGTTGTGCTAAGTAGATCACAGAAATATATCAATGGGACTGGAGAGATGGCTCACCAGTTAAAAGCACTTGCTGCTCTTGCAGAGGGCCTGGGTTCCGTTCCCGGTCATCCCTAATTCCAGTTCAAGGAGTTCACGCTCTTCATATTTCCACCAGCACGAGGTATACACGTAGTGCAGATATGTGTGTATGTATACACATATTATACACACACACACATCCAGGCAGACGGTCAGCACATAACTTTTTAAAAACTTTTTTTTAACGGAGTAGAGGGATGGCTTAGAGGTTAAGAGTACTGGTTGCTCTCGCAGAGGACCTGAGTTAGGTTCCCAGCGTTCACAGGAGCAGAGGCTCACACTCCAATTTCAAGGATATGACACCATCTTCTCACTCAGTGGGCACTAGGAATGCACGTAGTCCATAGATACACATGCAAGCAAAACACGTACACACATAAAATAAAAATAAATAAATCTGATAAATAGTTTTTTAAGATGAAAAAAAAAAATCGAGTGCCTGCAAGTACAGTTTTGGTTTCTTTTTTCAGATTTAAATGTTTGATGTGTACGGAATTTACTTGATGTTAAGCAGGGACGTGGTCAATTTCGATTTTTTTCCAAATGGACGGCCAGCTGTTCTAATACCGTTACATTGGAAAACCCACACTGCACCAGCTCACTCGCAGACCGGGAATCGGCGACCCTGTGCCTACCCAGGGGACGCCGCGCAGGCGTAGCGTCACCAGCGCAGGCAGCTGAGGGATGGGCCAGGACTTGGCCTGCGGTCTAGGAAGAGCCGAGGCCCCGCCCCCGGGGTGGGGACAGGGGCGAGACGGCTGGACCCCGCCCCCGAGGGAAGAAAATTGCCCGCCCAGGCGGAGGCGAAGCCCCGCCCACGGACCCTCGCTTATTTTCCTCCAGGGTCTGCGAAACCGACGGGGCTTTCCGCAGGCGTAGTTCAAATAGAAGCCCAGTCCTCGGGTGTCGTTTGCATAAAGCTGGGGTCCTAGGGGTGGAGCCCAAACCAGCCCAGAGGGCGTCATTTGCATAGAGCCCCGCCCACCCTCCGGCGGTAAATTAGACCCCCCTTCCTCCCGCCGCACGCTTCCTCGCCGTCCTTCCGCCCCGTTTCCTGACCTCGTCCGCCCAGTTCGGCCTGCCTCCTGAGTCGGTGCCCAGATGCTTCCCAAGCGACGGCGAGTGCGTGCCGGGTCCCCACACAGCGCCGCTGCCTCCTCCGCGCCGCCGCCGGCGCGCTTCCCGAGTGTGGCCATCTACCTGGCCGAGCCGCGCATGGGCCGCAGCCGCCGGGCCTTCCTCACGCGCCTGGCGCGCTCCAAAGGCTTCCGCGTCCTGGATGCCTACAGGTGTGCGGCTCCCGCGGGGGCCCATGGTGGCGGGACGCCAGCCTTGGGGGGTGGGGGGCTGGTATAATTATGCCCGTCACCCCAGTGTACGGACCTACTGTGGCCCACGGCGGGGGAGGGCGCGCAGCTGGCCGAGACGGCAGGCGGCACCTGTGGCTTTGGGTTCCAAGCCAGTTGGTACTTCGCGGTTGCGGTACGGTTCTCCAACCCGGAGTTCCTCTTTTTGAAAGGATGCCATCAAATGAGAGGCTTCTTAAAGAGCTTCTTAGAGGAAAAGTATTGAGTGAGCAATATTTGCTAGCTGCCCTCCCTCCCAGTGAAGCCAGCGGTTAAGGATGTCCTGAGTTTGCCTTAGTCACCAACCAGCTCCTGTAGAGAACATACCAGGGCAACGGAATAATAAAGGAACTTGGAGCCTGTATCCTTGTAGCTAACTGGTTTGTTTGCAACGCCTCCCACTCCCAGCCCCTTCCCCCAATAATGAAACATCCCTAAAGACTAGTGCATCAGATTCACTTAAGAGTGGAGGTAACAATTTGGATTGCACATGACTCCACGTTTTTACGACAGCCTGACAAGATCGCTTGTGTTGGATTGCTCCAATGTAAAGGAAATACAGATGCCATGCTTTCCTATGGACATGCAGCAAGTTGGCCTGCTTGGGTTTGAATAAATAGGGCAAGACTCTCCTGTCTCAAAATCCTAGCAGAGTGTCACGCCTGCCTGTGATCCTGGGATGCGGTGCAAAGGTGCCAGAGTTCCAGGCCAGCCTGGCCCACTCAGCAAGTCTCCAAACAGCCGTTGGCACTGAGATCAGAACCCTGGCCCCTAAGTCACCCCTTGGCCTGAAGCACAGGGTGACAGACAGGTTTACAAGTCAAACCGGCCTGTGAGTGTGGCTGGAGCTAGGCCAGTTGGGAAGAGTGGAGAGGTGTTTGTCCTTCACAGAGGGCTTTCTGGCAGACCACAGGGCAGTCACAGTGCAGTGGGCACTGTGGGGTGAGCAGCAGAGCAGCTGGGTTTCATTCTCCTCCTGTCCCCCCAGCTCAGAGGTGACGCATGTGGTGATGGAGCAGACCTCAGCCCAGGAGGCCATCTGCTGGCGGAAGAACATGGATGCTCTTCTCTCAAGCTGTCCCCAGCCAGCTCTGCTGGACATCAGCTGGTTTACAGAGAGCATGGCAGCTGGGCAGCCTGTTCCTGAGGAGGGCCGGCACCGCCTGGAGGTGAGCTAGTGAAGGACTAGCTCAGCTGGGACAGATGACTGGATAGCAGGTCTTCAGTGTCCTCAGGAGGAGGTGGAGAGTGAAGGCTCTCCCAAGACTGCAGAAGGCCCTGGAAAACCAAGAGAGGCCACAGCAGGGATTTGGGGGGCTGGACCATCCCACCTTCTGCTCTAACCATTGACCTACTTACTTTTAGTATATTTAGGAGTTTCTTCCTCAGCAAGTACTTGGGATGAACTGAGTTGCCAGTAGCCCGTCCTTGGGATGCTCTGGAGCCAGGCCGCTAGGAGACAGGAGGCAAGCTCCCTGACTTTGGAGACCTTAGTCCCTAGTCCACATCTACAGAGTTGAGGGGTAGAGTACATGCCAGTGCTGCAGCTTCATGATGACCCGTGTCTTACCCTTTTGCAGGTAGCTGAACCCAGGAAGGAGCCCCTAAGCTCAGTGACGATGCCTCCGTATGCCTGTCAGCGCCCCACACCTCTCACACACCACAACACCACCCTTTCAGTAAGCTGCATCTGTGAGCGGATTCCCGCCCTGGAGAATGGGGACATGGGTATAGCTGGTGTGTGGCTAAAAGGTTGAGGCAAGGCGCCTGGGACCCTAACCAAGGGCCCTCCCTACAGGAGGCTCTGGAGACACTGGCAGAGGCAGCAGGTTTTGAAGGCAACGAGGGCCGACTTCTCGCCTTCTCCAGAGCAGCCTCGCTGCTCAAGTCCCTTTCCTGCCCTGTCACATCCCTGAGCCAGCTGCAGGGGCTGCCTCACTTTGGAGAGCATTCCTCTAGAGTAGTCCAGGTAGGTGCTTCTCACGGTGAGTGCGTGGAGTGGGGAGCCCTGGGGCTGGTGGAACAGCAGGAGACTTGGTTCAGAGCCATATGTAGGTGCACAGGGTGCTGCTGTGAGGCCACAGTAGCTATCCTCAGCACAGATTCCTGGGATGTGGGTTGTTCCTCTGCCCTAGGGTAGATGAGTAAGCTCGGGGGAGGTTGCTGCTGGCATTGGTGTCGTTAGGGGTCCCAAGGTGTCTGGGGTAGTGAAAGAAAGCACCACCTGAAATGTTTGTTTTTTTTTTTTGAGGACCCAACATTGAACCGACCTTTTGGATACTTTTCCTTCAAGAACCCATAGTGGCAAAGGCTGCCATACATGTTGCTAAGGGTAAACAGTGGTGTGTCCTGGGACTCGCCTGAGGAGTGAGCCATGTAACAGATCCCGCTGACTGTTGTAGTTCCAGCCCTGGAGAGCTTTATGGCAGGAGCCCCTGCTGCCCCAGCAGCTGTGCCGTGCAGCTCTGGTTACCTCCCTGGGCAGTCTCCATTTCTCCTGACACCACAGACCCCCTCTCTTCAGGGTACAGACAGAACGGCCTTGGCCTCAGAGTTTTGTTTTGTCTCCTGTCCCAGGAATTGCTGGAACGTGGAACGTGTGAGGAGGTGGAGCAAGTCCGATGCTCAGAAAGGTACCAGACCATGAAGGTGCGTGTTGAGGGAGGAGACAGCTAGGACCACAACATGAGCAAGCAGCCAGCAAAGGCCTTTTCACCCAGTCCTGGGATCATAGAAGGTCACTAAGGAATGGCAGCTAACTTGACACCTGATAGGCAGCAGGCTGCCAAATGGAGACATGCAGACAGAGCCTGTTTTGAGTATAGGGAAATTTCTACATCACTCAGCACCCTCCGGTTTCCTGAGTATGTATTAAAGCGCACACTGAGCCAGGCATGGTGACACACCCCTTTAATCATAGTACTTGGAGGCAGGGGCAGGTGGATCTCTGAGTTTGAGGCCAGGCTGGTCTACAAAGTGAGTCCAGGACAGCCAAGGCTACACAGAGAAACTCTGTCCTAAAAAACAAAAAACCAGCAACAAAAATAATGAGCTCACTGAACAAATATGTTCAGTAGGGTGTGTGTGTGTGGGCCTGCCCGTCTCCATAGACCCACCTCTGTGCCTACTCACTGCGAACCTTATGTGGAGGCCACCTGGGTGCTCTGCTCTGACACCTTCTGCCTCTCCTTTTTAAGCTGGAGATTGTCGTGTCAGTGGCCTGAGATTTGTGGCCGTGAATTGTGGCCTCCTGGGAGGCTCATGGTATTGTGGGACACTGTACAGAGTACTGTCAGAGTGGCAGGGAGGGCTTGGAAAAAGAGTCCTCTAGCCAAGAGGCCTGGCTGTGGCCATGGTGGGTAGATCAGACATGGGGCCCGAGCTGGGCTGGCCTTGATTTGGCATAAGTAAAGGAATGGGTTCTCCATCAGCCCCAGCCCCAATGAGGGTTTCCTGGGCAGAAGAGAGGGAATCATTGTAAGATGTTGGAGGTGTCTCTTCTCCATTCTGCCTCTTGAGGACCCGAAAGACCTAGAAAACATCCATGCCAGCAGGAATTTATCTTAGTAATTAGAAGTATTTTTTGTTTGTTTGTTTTCTTTTGTTTCAGAGTAGGTTTGAGACTTTCTCATACTGAAGCAGAGGCTGGCCTCAAACGGAGAGTAGGCCCCTGCTTCTGCTTCCCAAGTGCTGAGATTATAGGCCCAAGGCCCTCTCTCCCACTTTAAAAATAAATAATATAGTTGTTATCTCAACTCATTTTTATATTTAATTTTTTAAATTTAGTTTATTTATTTGGAGGAAAGCCTACCATGGCACATGTGTGAAGCTTGGAGGATAACTTGCAGGGGTTGTTTGTGGTTTTGGAGGACTGCATCTCACACAGCCTGGTCTGGGCTGGACCACACTCTGTAGCTGAGGCCACCTTTCTCCTGCCTTCACCTCCCACATGCTGAGATACCAGAAGGCACTGCCATGATCAAGTCATGTCAGATCTGAGGTGGGCACAGGTGGCATCCCTGGAGACAGGCAGCTGCAAGCTACCTGACATGAGTGCTCGGATTTAAACTCAAATCCTCTGCATAAGTAGTAGTACTTGATCTTAACCACTGAGCCAGCCCTCCAGCCCTCGTATCAGGTTTTTGTTGCTGTTTTGTGTTTTGAGACAGGGTTTCTCTGTGTAGCCCTGGCTGCACTGGAACTCACTTTGTAAACAAGGCTGGTCTCAAACTCAGAGCTCTGGCTTCCTGTGCCTCCCTAGTGCTGGGATCAGAGGTGTGTGCCACCACTGCCCAGCTAGTACCAGATTTTGAAAGTCAGGTTCTGTTGATTGCAGTGACAGTGGTCTCTCTTGCACTGAGTTCAGAGAGTCAGGGAGAACAGGGCTGAGACTTCCCTTTTTGCCTCTGCTCCAAGGCAGCTCCATTTTGTTTGTTTGTGATCAGGGTCTTGCTTATAATTCAAGGCTGCCCTAGAATTCGTGATCTTCCTGCACCTGTCACCTGAGGGCTGGGATCACAGGCACGCATGGCTGCTCCTGGCCTCTGTCCTCTTTGACACATTCTGCTGCTAGGAGACATAGCCAAGGAAGGGAATGCTCTGTGTATACAGCTTCTATAACTGTGGGGGCTGCCCTTAGGCTCATTCCAGAATCCCTCAGGAGAGCCTCTGAGTGGTTGGCCCAAGGCAGGCCACACACTCAATCTAGAGCTCTGTGGACCATTTGGCATTTGAAACCTGTGAGAGCAAGTTTTCCACAGCTGCTGTGGTAGATACTGGTCAGGCCTCCAGTGTTTCTGTTGAAATCAATCCTTTATTCACTTCCTCAGTTTTGCTGCTGAAGAGAATCCGCAAGTAAGTTCCAGCTGCAGGTTTTCCCAGGGAACTAAAAACCTGGTGAGCCTTTTGAGTCCGTTGTAAGCACAGGCTGGGCCTGTGTGTTAAGGAGACAGACCTTTTATACAGGGCTGAAGAGGGCTTACTGAAGTTTTTTAGTAGTTGAGGAGCAGAAGCATGCTGTCCCTAGTAGAGCTACTCTCAGGGTTTGTGGGTTCAGTCCCCTGTGAGAGCGGTTCAAGCAGGCCACACTCCAGGGTTGAGTCCTTGTCCTGTGGCATTGGGGACGAAGGCAACGCCCTCAGGGGCATCTTCTGGGGACTTTCTCCTGACCCATCCATTCCTTCTTCTTCCACATAGCTCTTCACCCAGGTCTTCGGGGTTGGGGTGAAGACTGCCGACCGGTGGTACCAGGAAGGACTGCGAACCCTGGATGAGCTCAGAGAGCAGCCCCAGAGACTGACTCAGCAGCAGAAAGCAGGTAAACTTCCCAGAGCTTCCTGGACCTGGAAGCCACACAATGAGGCTCTGGTGTGGGACATGCTGATTACCTGAGTGCAGGGATCAGGTGGTGCAGCAGGGTTCTGGTAGTAATGAGACGGGCTCCCTGTGGATTCCTCCTGTAGCCAGGGTCTACCATGGCCCTTTCACAGTGACTGTTGTCATGGCATTGCCATGGCATCTGGGCCTCATGTTTCTTCCTGCTTGATTTCGGTTTGTGTTAGGGATGGCCTTGGTTTGGACTTCCTGTCCAATGTGCCTGGTGTGCGTGGTTTTGTGGTTCAGGTGCCACCATGAGTGAAAATAATAAACCTTGGGTTTGTTGCGCCCGGTTTGAATCCACTCCTAATTGCTGGGTATGTGACCATGGCTTTAAGACTAACCTCTGTGAGTCGTAGTCACCTTCTGTAGAAGACACAGAGAAGTGGTAGCATGAAATTCCTGGGTGCCTCTGCAAATGGGTGAGGAGCAGACATCCTGTCTGTGTAGCCTGCTAGTGGTCTTGGCTAGAGAGCCCGTCGAGGGCACCGTGGCCCCCGCAGGGTGCTGCCTGCTTCAGTTGCCTCTCCCCAGGGCAGGGTTGACAGGGTGGCTAGCACCCTTTACTGATGGCTTGCTCTGTGCTAGGTGTTGCTGTTCCTCATGCTTAAACCTCCTTAACTGAGCGTGGAGGCCACTGTGGTGCCCTTTGGTGGGCAAGAAGACTGAATAGGCCAAGGGAGAGGCGGCTAGTAGCAAACCCGTCTTCCTCACATCCTTTTACCGTCTTTTGGCTGCCTTTGACTAATGGAGAATCTGAAACCCTAAAGAAGCCGGCCGCATCTTGCCTGTGCCTGTGTTGACTTCCTTGTCCCATGTAGTTCTGTGCAAGAATTGTTTTTGTTTGTTTTGTTGTAGTGTTGGGGATTGAATGTAGGGCCTTCCAAGGCACGTGTTCAACAAACTCCGCCCCAGCTCGCTGGTGGGTAGCCCCGGCTGTCCTGAAACTCTATCTATAGACCATGTTGGTCTCAAACTCACTCACTGTAGTTTTATAAGATATTCTGTGTGTGTGTGGGGGGGGGGAGTTGGGCAAAGGGCATAGGGATCTTGTTTTCTTCATCTACGTGTCATGTGAATCAGTTATCGCAAAATAAGACTTTAAGTTTAACAGGAGAAGTGGAGCATTTGTAGGATTGCTGCTCCAGCGCCATCCATCAGCTCGGCAGTGCTGGCTGCTGTGTGCTGGGGGTCAGGGGGCTTCCTGGGGAAGACAGGCTGTTCTGTCCACAGGGCTCCAGTATTACCAGGACCTGAGCACTCCAGTTGGGCGAGCTGAGGCCGAGGCTCTGCAACGGTTGGTAGAGGCAGCCGTGAGACAGACCCTGCCTGAAGCCACTGTCACACTGACCGGCGGTTTCCGGAGGTAAGAGAGCCCACCATACCTTCTGAGTATACCCCAGCCTCCTCCCTAAGGTAGAAGGTAGGGACTTGAGTTATAGACAGCCACTGAAGGGAACATGGCGTTGTGCCGAAACCAGAGAATCAAACTGTCTTTTTCAGGGGGAAGTTACAAGGTCATGATGTGGACTTCCTTATCACACACCCTGAGGAGGGCCAAGAAGTGGGGCTGCTGCCGAGGGTGGTGAGCTACCTACAGGGCCAGGTGAGGGCCTCCAGTGCCTGACCCAGGAGTGACCAGTGACCAGCCTTCTGCCCTCCCAGAACCACGGCACACCAGGCCACACCTTCCTCCCCTCCCCCAGGGGCTTGTCCTGTATCACCAGTACCACCGCAGCCACTTAGGAGACTCTGCCCACCTTCTGTCAAAGAACTATACCATGGATGCTTTTGAGAGGAGTTTCTGCATCTTGTGCTTGCCGCAACCTCCACAGGCAGCTCTAGAGGAGGCCCTGCGTCCCAGCCCAACGCAGAAAGCTGTGAGGGTAGACCTTGTGGTCACCCCCAGCAGCCAGTTCCCCTTTGCTCTTCTTGGCTGGACTGGCTCCCAGGTAAGGGTCCCTGGGTGGGAGGGGAGGGGCTGGGCCTAGGGCGGGCCAGCCCTGCTAAGGGCAGTTATTCCTTCCCTCTCTCCCCAGCTTTTTGAGCGGGAGCTACGGCGCTTCAGCTGGCGAGAGAAGGGGCTGCGGCTGAATAGCCATGGGCTGTTTGATCCTGGGCGGGTAAGTTGCCAGGAACTAGGGTAAGCAACGGTTTCCATAACCCGAATCTGGTCCACAATTCGATTGTCCACAAAGGTGTTATACACTGCCAGGTAGCACGACATGATTCCCACTTACGCACAGTACCATGGCCTGGCCCCAGCTACACTGTATCATAGCATGGCATGGCCCTAGTGACACTGTATCATAGCATGGCCTGGCCCCAGCGACACTGTATCATAGCATGGCATAGCCCTAGTGACACTGTATCATAGGATGGCATGGCCCCAGCTACACTGCATGGAAGCATGGCCTGGGCCCAGCTACACTGCATGGAAGCATAGTATGGGCCCAAATCACTAATGTTCCTATTCCTTACAGAAGACATTTTTCCATGCGACTTCTGAGGAAGACATTTTCAGATTTCTGGGCCTCAAGTACATTCCTCCAGAGCAGAGAAATGCCTGATCCTGCCTACTGGCTGCTACACACACCCATCTGCAAAAAAAAGAGGGGCTGCTTCATGCTTGACAGGGATGTTTCTGGACAGAATGCGTACTGCCACCCCATGGCCTCACTGGTGCCTATGGAGTTTTCACCTGCGGGCCCATTGGCAAGGTGTGACCCTGAGTCAACTCAACTTTCAGCCTCCACACTCCTCAGAGCCAGAGATTCTGAGCAGTCCGTACATCATGCAACTATGACAGCGTCCTGGTCTGCCATGAGCATTAGACTGGCCCAGCTGTGGTTGCTGTGTCCGCTGCAGAGTACCCCATTCAGTGTGCCAGAAAAGAGACCCATGTCCCTGCCCTCGGCTTGAGCAAATATGGAAAGTAATTCTGGCTGTGAGGTGTTGCACAGAAGCTGGAAGTCTGACTGAGTGCTGTGCCACGGTATGTGGAGAAGGAGGTGGCCCAGGACAGAAACCTCCAGTGCTGGGGCTGTCCGTGGACACCCCACCCGCAGAGCTGGGTACCGGCCTGTGCCAGGCTTCGTAAGCAGCGCAGCTCCGGAATCAGGGCTCCACATGCCTCTCCCACTCTAAGCTGTTGACCCCCTCACAATCCAGCCCGGGCAGAGCCTGCACTGCCTACCCACAGCCCCAGCAGTGCATGCTGGGAGGGCTGGTTCCTAGGACAGAGACTGGCGCAGCCCAGCCTGGCAGAAATACTGAATCTCAGCAAGATCAGTGGGCAGCAACCGAGTGGTCCCAAGCCTGTAGTCTCGTGCAGGCCTGTGGCTCTGGCATTTCTGTCACTTCTTTCCATCTCGGCTGTATTCCCCCAGCTATGCCTCCTCCACACTTTCCCAGCTCACTCCCGTGTTTGCAGACTCTGTGTGACCAACTCTTTCACCTCTGGGGCCAGAAGCCCTACGGTAGGTTCATCACACAGTCCTCATATCCCAAAGCACCAAGGGCTTCGAAGGAGCTTCCCTTACTTCACTGTTTACCCACTGTTGCTGCCTTCTTCAGGACCTCACAGATGAGGGCCTCCTACATCAGTCACCACATGAACAAGTATTTTAAAGATTAACATTCAATAAAATGCATTCTTTTGGATTATAGTATTGTGAGTTTTACTGCACACACGCAGAGAACGGCCACTTCTGCACCATCCGGACACAACAGCTCTGTCCCCCAGAACATTGCCTTATATCATACTGTTATTGGTGACAGGCTCCCGTACCCCAACCCGCGCATTTGGCTTTGTCTGTGCGACTAAACTATGTAAGCTGTTGGTGGCCTCTCCCTTAGCAAATGCTTTGAGGTCCCTGTGGTTGTTACACAGATCAAGCTTAGTCTCCTGCTAAGCTACATGCTGTGGGTGCCCACTGTCCGCTTGGCCCCTGAAGGTTTACGATGGCTTAGTGATTGTAAGGAGAGCTGCTGTGGGCACGCGTCTAAGTGTGACTAGTGCTGTACTAGTTACTTTTTGTGCTGCTGGGGTAAAGAACCCTGACAAAAGGAACTTAAGGGAGAAAGGTTCTATTACGGCTCAGAGTTTCAGGTTCAGTCCATCATGGCCTGGAAAGATGGAGCTTGAGGGAGCTGGGCACATTGTCTCCTTGGCCAGGACGCAGGCATGGATGTGCATGCTCAGATAGTCTCTATGCCCTAGTGGGCAGAAGAGTGCCACCCACACTCAGGGTGGGCCTGCCCACCTCAGTGAACCTGAACAATAGGATCCCTCACAGGCACACCTGGAGGCTTGTCTTCTAGGTGAGTCTAGATCCTGTCAAGTTGACAATATTAAACATCACATTTTCATTTCTTTTGGGTAAATACCTAGGCATAGGATTATTGGATTATATAGCATATTAGGGTTCTGTAAGAGGAACAGAATATATTCCAATAATATATATATATATATTTCATATATGTATAAATATATTTTATTTATTAGAATGGTTTTCAGATTGTGGTTCAGCTTGTCTAACATGACTCTCTACCAATGGAAGATCCAAGAATCCACAATTGTTCAGTCCATGAGGCTGGATGTCTCATCTGGTCTTCAGTATATGCTGGAATCCCAAAGAAGTAGGCTCAAATGCCAATGAAGGAGCAGACTTTCCAGCAAGGATGAGAGCAAGAAGGCAAAGCAAGAGGCCTCATCCATGCCCTTTACACAGGCTGCCGACAGAAGGTGGCCCAGCTTAAAGGTGGTTTTTTCTACCTCGAAAGATCTGCAATTACAAATGTTCTTCCCACTTAAAATGATGAAATTAAGGGAAAAAAAAAATCCCTCATGGGGTACCTACCCAGCTGCGTGGGTTTTGGTTGGTTCCAGCTGTCGTGAGGTAACAACCAAGAGCAGCTGTCACAAGTTCACCCCTCCCTGTTAACCTGGCGTGAATATCTCACGTTTCCAAGTGAAAACAACCACCAGGTCATAATTACGCCTAACGTAGTGTAGCTCTCTCAGGTACAATTATAAACGCAGTATATAGTTAACCCTGTCATAGCTGTACCGAACATGACGGAACTAGTCCTTATGCAACTGTAGACACACTATGAATTGTAGAATAGATGTCAGTGTCCCTTCAGGAGCCTTTTGGCATCTCACAACTTAAATATAACCACTGATACTCTTAATTGATGTTACATTGCATGATAAAAGAGAACACAAGCACCTGTACAAACACATTCTTAATAAAATATAACAGAAGCGCTCAAGTCAGTCAGAACCCTCATTTCTGCAACTGGCACGTGGACTTAGCCGGTATTTATAACTACTAATGTATTTAATAGTAAATACTGCCCTATATTTCCTCCATCTTCAGCAAGAGCCCCAGCGGGTCATGGATCTTTTTCTGGAGGAGTGACCCTAACTTCATTCCTGAGGGCTCTGTGCCCTTTGTCATCCTGCCTGGATTAGGTTGTTATAGTTTCTCATCAACATTCATCACTGGGCAAGGTAGCTCCAAGAGACTCCAGGCGTAATCCTTCTTACTCCAGTGTGGAGAAGCAATCCAATGTCCCCGTAGTAATCTGGATCAATCACCCCTCCTAAAAATGTTAATTCCTTTCTTACTTAGCCTGTTGGCTTAAAGGCCATTAAAAGCCCAAAGTGGATGGGAAGTCTGAGCTTGCAGTTCAACAGAACATTTGTTGTGGCTTCTGGGAGGAGCATTTACTCTCAGGAACCCAAACTTCTAGGACAGCAGAACTTAAGGTCATGGGAACAAGAAGAAAAATGTTCCTCTTGGGTCACTAAGGGTGATAGTGAGCGGAACTATTCCCCTTTTCACCCCTTGATCCTGGACCCATGGGTCCTGGCTATGAGAGAAACTGTACCAGATATTGGATGCTGGCTCAAAGCACACACTGCCTTCTGGAGAACCCTGCCCCAGCCCTTCAGGCCGCTGCCACCTATTTAGCATTGTAACTGTGTCTTCAAAAGGCCATTCCATATTTCTATCAGGCAGTTGCTTCAGGATGGTGGGGAACAGGGTAAGACCAATGGATTCCATGATTGTGAACCTACTGTCGCAGTTCTCTGGTTATGAAGTGAGTTCTTCAATCAGAAACAATGCTGTGTGGAAGGCCCTGATGGTGGATAAGGCATTCTGTAAGTCCACAGATAGTATTTTGATCAGAAGCCTTACATGCGGGAACGGCAAAATTCCTAACTAGAATAAGTATGTACTCCAGTAATGATAAAGCGTTGTTCTTTATAGGAGCAAGTGGTCCGATGTAGTCAACCTGCTGCCAGATTGCTGGCAAGCACCCAGAGGAATGACACATCTGAGGCTCAGTGCTGGTCTTAGCAGATCTGGCATTCAACAGCAGCTGGAGCCAGGTTGGCCTTGGCGAGTGGCAATCAATATTGTTGAGCTCATGCATAACCCTTATCTCTCCCACCATGGCCAATTTGTTCTTCATGGGTCCATTGGACAATGACAGGATGGCTTAGTCAGGGTCTACAGCAGTGAAGAGACACAATAACCATGGCAGCTCTTATAAAGGAAAACATTTAATTGGGGCTGAGTTACAGTTCAGAGGTTTAGTCCACCGTCATCACAGCAGGAAGCATAACAGCATACAGGCAAATATAGGGCTAGAGAGGGCACTGAGAGTTCTGCATCTGGACTGGCAGGCAGCAGGAAGAGAGTGACACAGAGTGATTCAGATGGCTTGAGCATCTGAAACCTCAAAGCCCACCCCCAGTAACATACTTCCTTAATAAGTATGTTACTAAGGAGCCTACTCCAACAAGGCTCTGCCTCCTAATAGTGCCACTCCTTTTGGGCACATGGGGGCCATTTATTTTCATTCAATCCACCACACCTGAGAATGGGTCACCCACAGAATGGGTCACCCTAGCGACTTGATTCCTGAACTCCTCCTCAGCTGAAGCCACCTCGTGATGAGCATTTATAGGGCACACAAGTATCTTCACATCCTTCAGCCATTTAGAGATAGCCTATCCACATGCTTTCACAGATGTCTTTCTCACTGATTTTCCAATCATGATCTTTTCAAGTTCCTGACCATCCAATTCATCCATTAGCTATAGCCCATGAGTCAGTGAACAATCCCACATCTGGCCATTTCTCCTTCCAAACAAAATGTATGACCATGTATACTGTCCCAAGTTCTGCCCACTATGAAGATTTCCCTTTGTCAGCATCTTTCAGGGTCATCCCAGAATGGGGTTGTAATGCTGTTAACTTAATGGTAAGGACTAATAATGTTTATTATTACTCCTATAATTATTACAGCAATGTTATCTAACCCACTATTATAATCAGTGAAGGACACAGACACCTGATAGATTTTAGACTTGCCTTACTTCACCTTAGCTGGGCAGATAATTCCACCTCTGCTACTTTGTGTTTCCCAGCTCCCACCCCATTCCATCTGCTTCATTCATTCCTATCTGGGCTATCTCCCATCCATAAGTCCAGATACTTGCCAATGTTCTTCATCTGGGCCAATTCCTCCATCCATGCCGACCCCATGCTTCTCCCATGCTAATCCATGGCCATGTGTTTCTTCCTTCTTCCTCCTCCTCTACCAAGATCCTCTCCTGTCCCCAAAGCCTACACCTACTTTATTCGCTCTGCCCAGGGCTTTTTAATCAACCAATCTGGGATAATGGGGATATTCCTTCTCATCATGTGGTTACAGCAGAGAATTCAGCGTTATTAATAATGTCCATAACAGGGCAGTAACCAGCTCTCAAGGAACTAAAGTCAGCATTTGAATACATAGCACCAGACCAAACCCCAACAGTCCACTTCCGTGTGGTGCTGGCATCGAATGCAGAACCATCAGTAAACCAGACCCGAGTCTCTTCTGTAAAGGAATTTTAATTCAAAACATGGCTACTCTGGCAAGAGATCACATCCAACCTTCTAGTTGTGGGCAATCTGGCTGAACACAAAACAGATCTGAGTTCAAGGCCAGCCTGGTATAGAGAAGGTTTTAGGTAAAGAAAAGCTTAGGTCCAAGTGTGGTGGCCCATGCCTTTAATCTGAAACAATGAAGGTAAAGTTAGTTTGTAGAAAGAAGCATCCATGTTTGAAAGTGATGTTTAATTGAGTGGCAGAAACAGTGACAAATCAAAGAAAGACTTCACAGAATAGGATATGCCCAACTCTCATGAGAAGAGGAAAGTGAAGCTACTTAAGGGGCAGTAAAGAGAGAGAGTGGTTTTACCAGGATGGTAATAGACAGGTTGCAGAGAGAGAGAGAACTCAGGTGAAAATTGAAGGAGACAGAGAATGAGGAGACAGTAGATTAGAGCAGATTGCTGGAGTTAGTTTGAAGCCCTGCAGAGCGATTCAGAGGCTGAGAGAAAAGCAAGATTGAATAAGTTAGCTGGAAGAGGAGTTTGAGTCAGAACATCTGGGTTGAACCAGCCAGCCCAGAGCTCAGTAAAAACAAGAAAGAGTGAGCTTATTCGGCAGTACGTCTCAGAGGCTGAAAACATTCTAGGCCAAGGTTAGATTGTACGGAGGCTCCAAGCTTCCAGGACTAGGCCTAGGTTAGCAGACAGAGGCAGTAGGCATCCCAGACAACAACTGAATCAGGAGAATACAATTTTCTCTCATACTCTTCC